GTGATTTAGAAAGAAAACTATGAAGAAAAGACTGTGTAGATGTGTTGCATAAACTATCTGAATCAAATCATGGGAATACAAAGTTAAGTATTTTTTTCCTTACTATTAACTGCTTACTGATTCAGAGGTCTACAATGTAGAAACCTTTAAAACCCACAAGGAGTTCAATTCACTTTACCTACTACTTTTTCTTTTCAATTTTTTTCTTTTTTATTTATTAAAGAGAGGTAGAGAAACATCAATGTATGAAAGAAGCATTGATGGGTTGCCTCTCAGCCTACAACCCAGGCATGTGCCCTAATGGGGAATTGAACCGGTGTCCCTTTGTTTTGCATTGGTTTGCAGGCTGATGCTCAACCCAGTGAGCCACACCAGTCAAGGTGCTTTTTTTTTTTATTGTGGTAAAATACATATAAAACACTTACCATCTTAACTATTTTTAAAGTGTACAGTTCAGTGGCATTAAATAATCTGCATTGTTGTGCAGTCATCACAAACATCCATCACAGCTCTTTTCCTCTCGCAAACTGATACTCTATACTTATTAATGGTAACTCTTCATTTGGCCCCTTTCCCCTACCAACTGCTGCCAATCCCTGGCAACCACCACTATTACTTTCTGTCTTTATGGTTTTGAGTACTTTAAGTACCTAATGTTAAGTAAAATCATACAGCATTTGTCTTTTTGTAACTGAAATAGTGTCCTCAAGGTTCATCCACGTTACAGCCTATATCAGAATTTCCTTCCTTTTTAAGACTAAATGATATTCCTATGTATGTATACACCATATTTTGCTTATCCATTCATCCACTGACAGACATATGAGTTGATTTCTTGTTTTAGCCACTATGAATAATGCTACTATAAACAGGGGTGTGCAAACATCTCTTGGGGACCCTGCTTTCAATTCTTTTGGGTACATACCCAGAATTGGAATTGCTGGGTCATATGGCGATTCTATTTTTAATTTTTTGAGAAACTGCCATATTGTTGGATCACAGAACTATCATGATTTTGAACTACTGTTAAACACAAATAACAAACTGAGATATTTATCTACAACTAAATGTGAAATAATTATGTCTGATTTCTATTGGTGTCATTGCCACAGGTGCTGCTATTACTGCTGTGGTTTGTTGCCAACATTCATAAATGAAGGAAATACCGAATTTTAATAGAGTCTGGGAGAAAAAGACATACTATTTTTCCTTCCCACGTTCACAGACTCCTGTTTGTGGACCCTGGGTTAAGAAGCAGTGTGCTGCAAAGTGCTCTTTTTTCTTGAACAGGGAGGGAATCACTACCTTTTCTGAGGCAGCACTATTCATACAAAAGTATCTTTCTTTTAAAAATTCTTCCTTTTGTTGAAATAAAATATCTCCATGATCCACATCGCATATATTCTTTTCCACATGATAGACTTTTATGTATTTGAAGATAAATCTCTAACTCAGTATTTCCTTCTGCTGACTTTATGCCCAGTTCTTTCAAAACCTTCCTTCTTACGGGGGAAAGGGGACTTGAGTAAGTATAGAGTTTCAGATTGCAAGATGAAAAAGTTCTGGGGATCTGCTTCACAACAATGTGAGTATACTTAACACTACTAAACTGTACACTTAAAAATGTTTAAGGTGTGAATTTTATGTTATGTGTTTTTTTACAATAAAAGAACTCCTCCTTATGAAAATGATTTATATGGTGTTTGATACCTTCAAATTTCTAGTTGCTTTCTTAGAAATATGCTCTAGTATATCTCTGGAATCCAAACTGAAATATGGTTCCCAAGGTGTGTTCTCTTTAGCACAGGGTGGGATTACTACCATTCTCATTATGATACATTTCTCTTCTCACAGGCTAATACTGCACTGCTTTAGGGAGGGGTGCTGCAGGCCAGGCAGTCACAGTGTACGGTGGCTTCACTTTAGGATTACCCTTAGATCTTGTTTATAGGTGTTGCTGGACCCAAGTGCAGCACTCTAGTTTATCCCTTATAATATTCATTTTGTAAAACTAAGTCCAGATTTTTTCAGCTTATCAAGACATCTTTTGATTTTGATTCTGTGACTTCCTGTATTAACTATGCCTCCAAGTTTATAGTCAATCTGAAACCCAGTATATAAGGGAGGACCCCAAAATACCCAGAATGTATTTATAAAACATCGTATATTCATTGTTGCATGTTTAAACTCCAGTCACCTTCAACATATTCTCCATTTGATGTAATACACCTATCGAAATGTTTTTCCACTGCTCAAAACAGTTTTTGAACTTGTTTATTTCAATGCCTTTTAGTGTTTCTGCCGCTTTTTGTTTCACTTCTTCCACATTGGCAAAACATTTCCCTTTGAGGACTTTATCTGGTGAAACAAAAAAAGTTGCTCAGGGAGAGGTCCGGTGAATAGGGAGGGTGGAGCATGTAAGTCATTCTGTTTTGGTCAGAAATCACTGAATACTCAGTGTGGTGTGGGCAGGTGAGCTTGTAAATCACCCATGATGAAAAGGGCAAAGGTGTTGAAAGAATGAATCTTCAAAAAAAATTTCACTGAGGCCAAATGCAACCTCTCACAACAATGCCAGCTGGTACACTGATACAGCCGGGTTCCTAGAACACTCAGCAGGGGAAACCCCACTCTCCAGAAGATAATCTCTTTTTTGCCACGCCCTCCATATTTGCTTATTCCAATTTCAGTCAAAAGTTACTGAGGAAAAGAACAACAAAAAGCTGAAAGAGCCCTGCAGCATACCACTGGGAATGTTTTTCTGGTGTGGTACAGATTTGTAACTGTTAAGTATTCTAACCTATCACTCCCTTGCAATTTTATCACCTGAGTAGCTTTGTGTCAATACTACCACATTTGAAGTACAGAGCTGTTTAAAAGCCTTAAGACTCCAATGTTACATCCTGTTACTTAACATATAATGAAGAAGCACATCTATTACTATATCACAAGGTTGTTTTAATATTTTGTTAATTGTATTTCAATATAATTGGTTTTCTTTATAATGCTGTGTATTTTATTTTATGATTCAAAACATTCTGAGATGAGGTCAACAGGATTCACCAACTTCCAAGTCATGAAAGTCACCAACTCTTATGACTTGGAGAAAGTAGAGCCCATGCTGTAGATGGAACTCAGGTAACAGGTTTGTGTTAGACCTGATGACCTTTAAAAAATTTCCACTCATCCTGGATTAGAAAATAAGCATAGTTTTATAGCGCAAAGAATGTCTCTTATTATCTTCTCCTCAACTAACTCACTGGACCCATGGGCATTCTCTTGCCCCTCTACAAACTGCTCTGACTGATGTGGTGGCACACCGGACACTTGCAGCGGACAGGCTCTGTGAGTGTCCCCTCCACCTGTTTTCCAAGAGTACCAAGAGTCAGGGTATGTTGACAGTCCTAAAACTATTTGTACTATTTATACTTTCAATAGAACAGTGTAATTTAATAAAAACCAAAACACATGTGAAAAGTTATTGCTTCTAAGAAAATGAGACTATTTCTAAGACTTAAAATTATTAAGTCAGTGAAAAAAACCTTGTTAAAGTAAGTATGGCAGAACTATAAAATATTGAGGGGAAAAAAACACCCAAGAAGATTCTATTCTCAGAATGCTTTAATGAGTACCTTTAAGCTCTCTTTCTCCTTCAACTGCAACTAGAAACCTTAGGCTATACATTATAGATGTGCTCTACAAAAAGTCACACCACTCCCATCTGCAGACTTACACTACAACAAAACAAAACAACTGTTGGTCCTGTATCAAAAGGTGGGTCAGTAAATGTGTTCTTAACTATATTAGGCAAAATAAAATGTTTAACCATGTATCCTTTTCTATAAGTCTATGCTAGAGCTTACTTTTTCAATGATTGATCAATTCCTCATCTGACAAAAATGAGTAAGAAAATTTCTACTACACCAATGTCAGAATCAGGCAAACACGTACTAAGTGTATGCTAAAATTCTTACAATGCAAGACGTAAGACTGTCTCAAACAGTATTTAGTCTTGAAGAAATAACTAGAATTCACTAATACAGTATACAGTAAATTTGAGCACAATTCATTAGAGCTCTATTTTCTTTTACATCCAGTTTTGTTTATATTTAAGTGTTCTGCTCTTTATTAAGTACATGATCTTACAATAAAGAAGAGCAGTGTTTTATTATTTTGGTTCAAAAATCTTCCCTATCTTATATAACAATACTTATTTCAGTGCTTCTTAAACTCTTTTCCTGAACGAAGCAGTGAACTCATACTCCAATCCTTAGACAGGGAGACTGGGAATATGGCCCAAGGGCCACAAATCAAAGGTTTATTTTAAGTCTTCTGCACCACTTTCCAAAATGAATGTAAATTATGCCTGATAGTCTATAAATATTTATCTGTATTTGTTTCAATATTAAAAAGCCTTTTTCAAAGACCTCTCTGTATACCATTGTGTACCCTTGATGAGAAGCTTGGATTTAACCAATTCAATACAATTTCAATTCCAATTTTGATTTGTGTTAAATGAAAAAAGAAATGAAATTGCAATTTCTTAGAGAAGTGTTGTAAGCGACTGGGCAATATCATATAAGCCAACAAGGGCAGAGGGAAATCTAACAAACATCCAAGGGAAGGAGGCAAAAGGCATGGGGACAAAAATGAAATCTTGCACTAACCTAGCTGTCCACCCCTACTTTGATCCAATATCTAACAAATTCTCTCTAAGGCGGGCTGAAGACTATCATTATTTCTTACAGGTGGGGCTGGATCTTTTTCACTGTTGTCACCCTAGCATTTACCACGCTGCCTGGCATACAGTAGGCCTACTTGCCCAAAGTCACATGGTCAAAAAGTGGCAGAGCTGGGATTCAAACCCAGCCAGTTTGGCTTTGGGGTCTGAGCTCTTAAACACTATGCTCTTATAAATGTTTGTTGAATACATGAATGAGTAAATAATTTGTAAGAAATGAAAGGCAAATATTTTACATCAGAAGACTTTAGCTTCTTACAGTGCAGTTTGTTGCTTCTGCTGTTGAGGGGTTCTGGTCCATTCACATCTTTACTCTTTTCATTATCTTCAATGGGTCGGAAATGAGCCAAAGTTCTCATGAATCCACGGAAGTTTACCTGGTCCTCTCTGATTGGGAAACAACAAACAACACTGTGTCAACCAGGGTGATCATCTCTTATGAATTCAATATATTGGCAATAATTTAATGAAGTCTCTTTCCATATGCATAGTACAATACTTTAGTGCTCATAAAAATACCTTCATTGAAGTCTCCCCCAAACCTTGTGAGGCAGGTAGTATTATTACCATTTTATAAGTGATTAACCAGGGCCAGAGTCACCTATTGAATATACTTCTCTCTCTTTTCCCAAAGAGGATTTCGAGTAACTGCAGGGCCATAGTATCAGGCAAGCCAGGATTCAAACTCACTGTTTTAGACTCTGTAGCAAGCAGCAAGGTGGTCATTTCAAACCAATGACTCCCAACCACCTCCCATATCTCCCCTGCAGTCACATAGTGACATTTTAAGGTAAGGCATACTATGGAAAAGCTGTTTTAAAATAAAGTTTAGCTCTGGCTGGTGTGGCTCAGTGGACTGAGCGCCACCCTATGAAACAAAAGGTTGTTGGTTCAACTCCCAGGTGGGGCACATGCCTACATTGCAGGCCAGGTCCCTGGTTGAGGGTGTGTAAGAGGCAACTGATTGATATCTCTCTCACATACTGATGTTTCTTTCCTTCTCTTTCTCTCTGCCTTTCCCTTACTCTAAAAATAAATAAATAAAATATTTAAAAAAATAATAATAAAGTTTATTTTGTTATAAAAGCAATAAATACATATTTGGAAATATGGGAAAAAAGTAGAAAGAAAAAAACCATTCCTGTTCTAAAAATCAATTATAGCTATCATTAATATTATTTTCCTCCAGCAATTTTTCTAAGCTGTTTGGATAATTGTGAACATATTGCATATATGATTTTGTATCTTGGTTTTACTTACTTATTTTTAAATTTAAATTTTTCAATTACAGTTTACATTCAGTATTATTTTATATTGTTTGAAGTGTATAGCACTGTGGTTAGATAATCATATACTTTACAAAGTGTTCCCCTCAATATTTTCAGTACCCATCTGGCACCATACATACAAGGTGGGGCAAACGCAGGTTTACAGTTGTTCACAGGGAAAATAATACAATCATTAATAAATAAATAATACAAAATATACTCTGTGTTTTCACATACTCACAACTATAAACTTACTTTTCCCCACCCCATAATTATTACAATATTATTGACTATATTCCCTAAGCTGTGCTATTCATCCCTGTGACTATTTTGTAACTACCATTTCATACTTTTTTCTTGAAGATTTTATTTATTTATTTTTAGAGAGAGGAGAAGGGAATGATAAAGAAAGAGAGAAACGGCAATGTGTGGTTGCCCCTCACACACTGACTACTGGGGACCTGGTACGCAACCCAGGCATGTGCCCTGACTGGGAATTGAACCAACCCTTTGTTTCGCAGGTTGGCACTCAATCAATCCACTGAGCCACACCAGCCAGGGCCATTTCCTACTTCTTTATCCCTTCACCTATTTCACCCATTCCCCAACACCCTCCTCAGTGTCAACCATCAGTCTGTTCTCTGTATGTATGAGTCTGTTCCTATTGCCTCTTGCTTTTTAAAACTTGTAAGCATATCTCCAATCAATATAAACAGTTTGAAACACTTTAAATGCCTGCATAATTGTGTATCTATATCATGATTCTATTATTCCCCTCATAACTGGATAGATTTCCCCTACCACCACCATTTTTTATGATCACAATGTTTTGAAAGACCTTTTTATGTATAAAGCTTTTTGGTACTTTAGAGAAAAGTGTTTTATCATGCCACAGGCTATTGAATAATCCTTTAAGAAATAATTCCAAAATCTGAATAAATGAAGAATGTTTTTTAATATTAAAAAAGAATGTCTCAATACAGAAGGATGAGCACGTGAAGGCAATGGGCGGAAACAGCGTTCTAAAAGCCAAGGAGAGAGTCTGTAGGAGAAGCTGACCCTCCTGACACCTTGATTGCTTACACTTAGGCGGAAAGTGAGAAGGGTGGAAACAGAGTTTGACAAAATCACACATGGGATGGGAACTAGCAAATGAATCCATTTAAAAATGACCATATGACCTGGCTGGTGGGGCTCAGTGATTGAGTGCTGGCCTGCAAATCAAAGGGTCACTGGTTTGATTCCCGACTGGGGTTGCAGGCCTCGTCCCCAGGATAGGGGATACGTGAGAGGCAGCTACACATCGCCGTTTCTCTCCCTGTCTTTCTCCATCCTTTCCTCTCTCTCTAAAAGTAAATAAATAAAATCTTAAAAAAAAAATGATCAGAGCCCTGGCTTGTGTGGCTCAGTGGGTTGGGCGTTATCATACAAAACAAAAGGTCACTGTTTAGATTTCCCGTCAGGGCACATGCCTGGGTTGCAGGCCAGGCCCTTGGTTACAGGCATGCAAGAGGCAACTGATCAATGTTTCTCTCCCTTTTTTTCTTTCCTTTCCCCTCTCTCTAAAAATAAATAAATAAAAATCTTTTAAAATGACCAGAAAACCATTAAATAATGATAAAAAGGATTTAGTAAAATACAGTGGAAAACCATCATAGGAAAAATGTTAATACTCTCCATGATGAGACTGTAAAATAAACCATAATAAGTTACCTTAGTATGAAAAGTATAAAAAAAATAATTAAAGAAAAAAAAAGAGTGTCCCATGTGACAGCTATTTATCTAGGGCAGTCAAAGAAAGAATAGTTAGTTGCCTGGTTCTTATGGCTCCCTAAGAATAAACCCCAGTCTCTGTATGTCCCATTGAACAGATGCAGTATGTTAGGTCTCTCAAGTGCCAGGTAGACACACACAGATCAGAGACTTTCTAAAGGTAGAGTTCAATGCTCATGAGCCCATTGTACTCAAAAGAATGACCTTCAGTTCCTCAAGGTAGCTGACCTACTAATGGAGTGGTATCTTATCAAAAATGTAAGATTTGAAGAATCAAGTAATGTGAAATAAGATTTGAGTTATATGCTGCAAAAACAGATTAATGAGTACATATTTTACTGCCATAATGTCTCTGAGTGAAAGGTAATTAAATACCAATGTTCCACTTTCAAGTCTCATTATTAAAAAAAAAAAAAAAAAAGTCCACCTGCACAAGATTACAGAAAAAACAAAGAACCCGGAAGCCAAATATCTATAACTGATTAGACAGAGGTGCAGCTTGCTAAGAGATTAGCTGTGTAGCCCAGTGTTGGCCTCAGTATCCTCACATATACCTGCCTATTTAGCAGCAGATACCTGAGTAGGATGGCAGGTAAGGTGATACTATAGTCACAACAAAGGTGGTTTGGCCTTATAAACAGTTTTCTACCAGCTGCTTCTTCAAATAATCAAGCATGTCTGTGGAACTCTGAAAAAAGTTTGCAAAATGACTCTACTGGGTTTACTTTTCACGGCAAAAGATCTGAATACAAAGCATACTCGTGAAAGCTATCTCTGCAGAAAGTTCAATGCTCTCCAACTGCTAAAAGGGGGAATGGAAAAACCACATCTGAAACAAATGATAGTTCAGGGAGAGAAACGGGAAATGAGGGAGGGTAGGATAGTTCCCATGGTCAACAGCAATCTGAAAAGGGTAAGTCTCAGTCTTCATATTCCTATCTTCATATAAACTGGCTGCTGCCAGTGTTCCTCCTCTGGCCATCACGCAGATTTGCGGAGAACCCAACTTCTGAACTTGCAAATCCCTTTCAAGTTCAGAGAAAATTCAGAGAAAATTTCCTCTCCAGGCATTTTATCAGATAGTGTCCACACTGATACTTAGTCTCATTATTAAGAACTGGAAACCATGTAACTTCTTAAAGCCCTCTGGGTCATACAGGCAAGCCACAAGGAATCAGGAAGCGATTGTTAAAGAGAATACTTAAAACAAGATTATATGATTAACTGTATTCATGAAAAGGCACCTAATCAAATCAATAAATATTTACTCAGTACTCTGAAGGCAGTACATTAAGCAGTGAAGCATATCAAAAGCCTAGTTTTACATTAGACAAACCCAACTCTATTTGCGAAAGTAAGTGTGTTTTGGGGATGACTGTATCCTTAGTCAATGTCATTAAAAAAAGAAAAAAAAAAGGCTGTGCAAATGTTCCAGATTAAAGGGGGCTAAGGACACACGGCAACTGACTGGACAACAGCAGACTGGATCTTGTATTGAAGCAGGGGAGCGGGGAGTGCTATAAAAAAGATTATTGGTTAAACAGATAAAACTGGAATACGAATACTATATTAGAATAAAATAGATAATGGGAGAAATGGGTAAAAGTGGCAAAGGGTAAAATTTCCAGTTAAAAGATGAATAAGTTTTGGGGATGTAATGTACAACATGGCCACTAAACAGTACTGTATATATATTCAAAAGTTAAGAAAGTAGATTGTAAAAGTTCTTACCACACACAAAATAGTTAACTATATGAGGTGATGGAGTGATGGATATAACCTTGATAACATTACTGTGGTAATCATTTTGCAATATATACATCTATAAAATCACTATGTTGTATACCTTAAACTTACACAATTTTATATGTCCATCATATCTCGATAAAGCTGGAAAAAAATAAAACACCTAATATTTTGTCTTATTATTACAGCACACTGGATGAAAGGCATTTGAAAAAATGTTAAGATACATTATATTAATAATTTTAAAATAGTGATTACATATTAAATGATACTTTGAATATATTGGATTGAATAAAATATATCTTGCTAAAGTTAATTTATCTTTATTCATTTATGCATTAATTTTGTTCACTTTTACTTTTTAAATGTAGCTACTAGAAAATTATAATTATACATGTGTCTTGATTATAGTTTTATTGGCTCAGTCTGAGAGATGTAAAGCACATGCAAACGAGGCAATGCTTTAACAACATATGTGCCTGGGTAAAAGATACACTTTGTTCTTTGTACTATTTTCAATTTTTACAACTTTTTTGTAAATTTGAAATAATTTCCAAAGAGGTTTTTAAAAGATTTTATTTATTTTTAGAGAGAGCGGAAGGGAGGGAGAGAAGGACAGTGAGAGAAACATTGATCAGTTAGTTGCCCCTGCACACCCCCAGCTGGGGACCTGGCCTGCAACTCAGGCATGTGCCCTGACTGGAACTTGAACCAGTGACCTGTTGGTTTGCAGGAGGATGATGTCCAATGCCCTGAACACCACCAGTAAGGGCGAAATACAGTTTTTAAAGAGTTTAGTTTTACATCAAAGATAAAGCTATCAAAAACAGAATTTTGAAGATGGGCTTATATACCTACCTGAAGTTTAAAATGGGAGGAAGGTGGGAGAAAAAAACATATTCTAGATATGACCAAGTTAGGGATGTCCAATATAATCAGGAGGCTCATGGTCTGAGATGACCCAACCAATGTCACTATTCCAAATTAGCCTCAGAAAGAACCCCAATAACCACAGGGACTCACCCCTCTGGAAAAAAGGCATTGATGATCCGGTCTCCCAATGGGTTGATGGCAAGTTCTGGAATCCGCTGGAAGTCTTCCCGGCTGACAAAAGAATCACTTTGAGTTAGAGACCATTGGCCTTTAGCATGAACTCCTTCAGTCATGCAAGAATACAACCTAGCAAGGATATTACCTCCTGGAATTTACTTCTGTGGCAAATTATACCAAATAACTGCAAAGAATAGCGATTTAATAGCTGCCAAGTGTTTCTTGGACCAAGTCCGGAGTGGAAGAAGCCAGATTTAACTATGCCACGTTCCAGTGAATCAGCTCACAGGTTACATCAATAAACCACTGACGAGTGAATACTCAGTTGTCTCTGTAAATGATTCCTTGAACATTACCATTTTGTACTTAGTTATTAAGTTTGGAGAATAAATAGCACATGTAAAGTATCAAATACCACAGACACTTGAATATGACAGCAAAAATTTAGAGGGGCCTCTGTGCCCTTGGTAGGAAAATCTATAGCACTGTGACATGCAATGTGTAAGTCCAAGGAAAGAATAAAATGTGACAACTAACTGATTTCCAGACTTTCTTATCCTGAGTCTGACTTTTTCTCAACTATCTTCTATGGATTAGAGTTAGAGAAGTATTTAATCTTTGAACAGGGCAAGGGCAGTTTATCTTTTTACAAGTTGGAAGTTATATTAAAGTGAGTACTTGTTACCATTCACTGTACACACATTATGTGCTGCTCTGTTTACATACATTACCTCATTTGTTTTTTTTTTAAAGATTTCATTTATTTACTTTCAGAGAGAGGGGAAGGGAGGGAGAGGAACACTGATCTGTGAGAGATGCATCAATCGGTTGCCTCTCACACACCCTCAACTGGGGACCTAGCCTGCAACCCAGGCACATGTCCTGACTGGGAAATGAACAGTGACCTTTTGGTTTTTAGGTTGGCACTCAATCCACTGAGCCACATGAGCCAGGACACTGTATCTCATTTCTTAATGCCAACATTTTACCTGTATCAGGGGTGTCAAACTCATTTTCACCGGGGGCCACATCATCCTCGCGGTTGTCTTCAAAGGGCTAAATGTAATTTTAGGACTGTATAAATGTAACTACTCCTTAACTAGGGGCAAGGAGCTGGGAACTACCACCAGGTAGAAACAAGGTGCTGGGCAGGATAAAACAAGGTGAGGGGCTGGATTAGGTCTGCGGGGCTTGTGTTTGCCACCTGTAACCTATACCCTTTTAGAGCTGAGGAAGTTGAGAGTGAGTGAGACAAAGTAACTTGCCCCATGCTACAAAGCTAGTTAAGTGGCAGAACTGTGATTTAAATCAAAGTCTGTAAGTCAAAGCACATATTTTTTTCTAAAAACCACATTTCTTTCCCATGTTAAACATTTTGAAAGAAAGGTATCCCCCCAAAAATATTCAATAAATATATATATTTTTAAACTTGACTGAGACCTGGCTCGTGTGGCGAGCTCGTGTTGGTTGGAGCATGGTCCCATAAACTGAAAGGTCATGGGTTCAATTCCTGGTTGGGGCCAAGGCTGCAGATTTGGTCCCCAGTTAGGGCACATATAACAGGCACCTGATCAATATTTCTCTTTCACATTAATGTTTCTCTCTCTCCCCCCACTCTGTTCCCCTCTCTCTAAAATCAATAAGCATGTTCTCAGTGAAGATAAAAAAAACTTGGTTGATATTCTGTGCCAATATAAAGCTGTCTATAACATAACTATGCTGTACTCTTCAAAAATACCAATATTTTGAAGGGCAGAGAAAGGCAGAGGATTGTTTCAGATCAAAGGGGACTACAGAGACATGCAGCTAAACGCAATGATCCTAGACTAGGAGAAAAATTGTTATGAAAAAATTAATGAGCCAACAGGTAAAAATGAAATATGAACCTTAAAGAATATGAAATATTATGTAATAGTACTATATCAAAATGCTAAGTTTCTTGATTTTGATATGAGCATGTCCTTCTTATAAAAATACACAATGATGAGGACTTCCGGCAAGATGGATGCACTGTACCTCCACGCACAACCAAGATTAGAACAACAACAATTTAGAGGCAGAATAACACCCAGAACTGACAGAGAATTTATCTGAATGGAAGTCAGACAGCCAAGAAGTTGAAGTAGACCCGTTGATCCAGACCAGTAGGAGGGGTGGGAAGGAGCAGCCGGGCACACGGAGAACGGGGAGAACTGGGTGCATAAGGCAACCGGGAGCGAGTAAGGCATCTGGGGTGCACAAGATCGCAGTGGGTGGACCCTGAGTGCGCAGGCGGCAGCTGGCAGACCCAGTGAGGCGGTGATTGTGGATAAGGGCAGAGCGCGCAGCGCAGGATCCCAGGGAAGGGACCGAGGTCCTGGGAGAACTGAGCTACCGCCATTGTTCCCTCCCGCCCCTGCCCCCACATACAACATCACAATCTAGCAAGTGGGGTGCCCAGCCCCGGTGAACACCTAAGGCTCCGCCCCTCACCATAACAGGAGCGACCAGACCAAAAAAAAAAGAGAGAGAGAGAGAGAGAGAGAGAGACATGTCTCAAACAGAAAAACAGATCAATGCCCCAGGGCTCATCCTTTTGAGCAACCGAGAGATAGCCAATCTATCAGATGTACAGTTCAAAACACTGGTGATCAGGAAGCTCACAGAATTGGTTGATTTTGGGCGCAAATTAGAAGAAGAAATGCAGGTTACCATAAAAGAGATGAAGATGTATGGAAAACCAATAGTGATGGGAAGGAAACTGGGACTCAAAACAATAGAGTGGACCAGAAGGAAGAAAAAAAAAACAAACAGGAAAGAATGGAGAAATAAGAATTCAAAAAAACGAGGAGAAGCTTAGGAACCTCCAGGACGTCTTTAAACGTTCCAACATCCAAATTACAGGGGTACCAGAAGGGGAAGAGGAAAAGCAACAGATTGAACACGTATTTGAACAAATAATAAAGGAGAACTTCCCCAACATGGCAAAGGAAATAGACTTCTAGGAAATCCAGGAAGCTCAGAGCCCCAAAGAAGTTGGACCCAAGAAGAAACACACCAAGGCACATCATAATTACATTAGCCAAGGTAAAAATGAAGGAGAGAATCCTTGAAGCAGCAAGAGATAAGGGGACAGTCACCTACAAAGGAGTTCTCATCAGACTGTCAGCTGATTTCTCCAAAGAGATCTTGCAGGCAAGAAGGGGCTGGAAAGAGGTATTCCAAGTCATGAAAGACAAGGACCTATATCCCAGATTACTCTATCCAGGAAAGCTTTCATTTAGAATGGAAGGGCAGATCAAGTGCTTCTCAGATAAGGTCAAGTTAAAGGAGTTCATCATCACCCAGCCCTTATTTTATGAAATGTTAAAGGGACTTATCTAAGAAAAGAAGATAAAGAAAAAACATGTATAGTAAAAGGACAGCAAACTCACAATTATTAACAGCCACACCTAAAGCAAAACCAAAAGAAACTAAGCAAACAACTAGAACAGGAACAGAACAACAGAAATGGAGATCACATGGAGGGTTAGCAACAGGGGAGTGGGAGGAGGAGAGAGGGGGAAAAGGTACAGAGAATAAGTAGCATAGATTGTAGGTTGAAAATAGATAGTAGGAGGGTAAGAATAGTGTGGGAAATGTAGAAGCTAAAGAACTTATAAGTATGACACATGGACATGACTAAAGGGGGGGATATGGGTGGGGGAGGGTGTGCAGGGTGGAGGGGAGTGAAGGGGGGAAAACGGGACAATTGTAATAGCATAATCAATAACATATTAAAAATAGAAAAAAGAGAAATACACAATGAAATATGTGGCAAAATGTTAACAATTGGTAAATCTGGGTATTAAGTATATAAAGGAATATAAACTTAATAAATCTCATCCCTGCCTTCAAGATGTTTATAACAGAAGAGATAAAACTCCTCCAACCTCTTCATATGAAATGTTAATGTTCCTGTTTAATCAGGAGCCTTCAATACTCTGTTCTTCTTGTGGTTTAATGTTTATACAGTGCTTAATTCAATAAATTCATCTCCACCACATCTGGTGGTGACAGAAGTAGAAACTGACCTAGGAGACTGAGGACATAGCTCTGGAACAGTAACTCTGGATTGTAATCTTCCTTGATCACATAGAATAATAATCTTCATAGCAATGAATGAACCAGAAGTCATTCATAAGATAAACAGGTTCCTTAAGATGATAAAAGATAAGTGAAATTATTGAGGTCCTGATTAATTCAACAAATATGTACTATGCTCTTATTACGTAATTCGTACTATAATACAAAGTCCACACTGTCACCAATATGTTCTCCTCTTGTTTGACAGAGGTTAAGAAACAGTAACTATTACCTCTTAAATGAAGGTTAAGGCTGATTTGAATTGCATGGTAACATACCTCAGTTTAATGTCTAACAAACTTAAGTAGTTTTAGCTAAGAGCACAGTTTAAATACCAGGTCTAGGATCAAGTGGTAAATGCACAACCTAGCTTGAAGGCCTTCAGTCTCAGTAAGGGATCTGGTCTTGAACTTCCAATGTTAATAAGGACCTACACCCTGTCCTTTGACACTTTTAATCTCTACTCTTAAAATTTATATTGTAAATACAATGCTGTTCTATAAGACCAATAGGAACACTGTTGAAAGTATCAAAATGAAAGTAAAAGAGCATTATAAAATAGTTTTTTAAACTGTTAAACAACAAATAAAATCATCTGGGAAATTTCTCTAAACTTAGCATCTCAAATTTGTCCACCAATACAAACTTAATAAAAAACATTCCAGTTCCGGCCAGTGTGGCTCAGTTGGTAGGGTATCTTCCCACAAGGCGAAAGGTCATGGGTTCCACTCCCAGTCGGGGCACATGCCTGGGCTGTGGGTTCATCCCGGTCAGGGCGTGTATGAGAGGCAACCAATCAATGTTCTTCTCTCACATCGATGTTTCTCTTCCTCTCTCAATAATAGAAAAATACTCCAAGGAGTCCACACCACAAGTGTACTTGAAATGCAGATTTGTATGTGCTCATACAAGAGCATACTAATATTATATTCTACCTCATAGTATACCTA